ACAGGAAAAATAAAGTAAAGCAAAACTGTCATTGAAAAATACAAGCTTTTAATAATAGTAATTAATAATAACTCATTAGCATTATATAAAAACGCAGTACTGCATAACAGTGTAAAAGTCAGTTGCTTAGAAATATGTAACTTTTTTACCAAGTAGAAAATCAGGTACACCCATTTACCTACTTAATATGACGAACTTCTCATCCAACACCAACTCAACACTTCATGTATAGCCTGATTTATTCCCAAAATAGTCCTCGACACACTGGGTTTTCACAGTATAGTGAATTAATAATTTTACAAATGTTATTCTGTAGTGTTAAAATTTACATGATGCAATTTATGTTCTCCGGGATTCTTCTTCACGTCACTGAGTTAGATGTTGAATAGTTCATCAGTTACAATCTATCAAATATTTAAGCATTTGCCCAAGCAATGCAGCCCAACGAGAAGCAACAGTGTACAGTCTAAAACCCCTTATTGGTTAAATTGTTTGAATGACAATTTCAGCAAGAGAAGACAGATTAAAAACCAAAACAAAATCTTTCCGCACCTATTGGATCTTTATTACTTTAAAAATTATGTTCAAGTAAAAATACAAAAAACTAACTAACTTTGCCAGCATGCATGGAAAACAAAAATCAGTTATTTCAAAACTAAGAACATCTCATTTACGGTCACAAAACTGCCAGCTTGTTTTCTGTTTAAGATTCATTTTATTTTTAAGATTGGATGACAGCCATCTTTCAAACTTCAACCTACAAGGGAAAAAAACAAAAACCACCCTACACAGCTGACTTATGTTTGATTGCAGGTCCATCAACGTTGACGTCCAGCCTGAAAGTGAGATAAATTGAGATAAAGTTAGATCTGGAAGAGAAGAGTTCACAAGCAAAGATGCAATCTAATGTTCGCTCAGACATCCAAGGAAGATTTGAACCATCTTTGGTGTTTAAACCTCTGGTGGAAACTACGAATGGCAGGAAAAATCATCATCACAGCGATAAACTCTTCAAAGACGTAAGACTTCAACAAGTAACCGTACATACCAGCTTTAACAGCCTGGAGAATCCACAGATTAGCCTTGTATCCGTGGCAATTATCTCCCTGAAAGGGAGAATACAATTTAGTTCTTAGAGGTTGATCCTTTACAGAAACAGCCATTCAGCCTGAAAGTGAGATCGGGTTTAGGTCAGTACACAAAGCAGAAAGACACAAGATACAACAGGAATTAAATGTTCGCTCAGACATCCAAGGAAGATTTGAACCATCTTTAGTCTGTAGACCTCTGGTGGAAACTACGAATGGC